TATTATCCGCTCTACTGGGGAACCTCTCCGTATTTTCATCAACTGCTTTTAGGTGGAATCGTGAGGATTCTTATAGCTTTACAGTTGTGAGGCTATATAACTAGAAGATTAAATACAAAGATATGTTAGATTGCTGGTTCTTGAAACATAAAAGAGATGCGAAAGGTGGCAAGTTTCCATAAACGATATTTTATGATCGGCGCCGATAATCGCTTATTGAGCGCTTTTTCGGCGCTTTTATATCGCCGATCATAAAATATCGTTTATGGAAACTTGCCCGAAAGGTTATATAAGTAGCAGAAGTTTTCAAAATCATGTGTTTGATTTGTAGCAAATTGAAAAAGCATCTTGAAAGTTCTTGTAGGATTCGGATTCTTTTATCCCAATTTAAGTTCGGTCAAATAAGTACTATCCCCGAAACCCATTATTTGCGCCATTTTACACCACTGTGATGCTCAAGAATGCCAACCCTATTGACAGGTCAAAAATTATTCCAATTTCCAATTCCAAAAAACCCACACAACGAATAAAAGCTATTTGAGAGCCACATTGTAAAGTAAAGTTAGCCGTTAGGAACCACGGCACTTGTTCCCTCTTTAGAAACTGGAATAAACTTTTAAACCAAAAGTTTTTACAGTTACAAGAAGCGTCCGGCCAATAGCAGCACATGAGTTCCCAAAACTTCAGTTGATAACTTATCTTTATATTAATCTAACTACTCAACTGAGAAACATGCGATTACAAGCAACAGGAAATGTTTACAAGAGTTAACAATAACAAACGTCTACCTGGTGTTTCTCAATGCAGACAGCTCCTATACACATGTTATCTGCAGAAGACTTTTGTTTGTGTCACGTGACAAGAATATTATCACGTGACACCAAATTTCTACACGTGGTCACTTGTGTTGAAGACTATAGTTATGTCACATGATTAGTGAGTTGGAGCACGTGGGCGCTGTCTGCGAGTCAGCAAGTTTGTATTGAATGTGTCATGTGACCACTGAGAGCTAGGTGATGGTTTGTAGTTGGCTGTAGTTTGTATCATTGAATATTTGTAGATTTGTTTTAGTTACATCACAATATCTCACTGTATGAGTAGATGTATAGGAATTACATGGTGCAGCTCAGTCATTGGTCAATACAACATTAGTAATGTGTTACATATTACACGCAGTTGTGAAACCAGGACTGTTATTAGCCTCTGCTTGTATAGTATAGTAGTACATTCTCATTCTCTTAAAGTAGGAAACACGCTTTTATTGACGTTATTTTAGTTAGTCTTATTATAGCTAGTTGTATCTAATTTCTTATTGGTTTTAATTCTGTCTGTCCGATTGAGCGACTTATATTTCAATACCATTATCTCTGTTAGTTTTATATCAAAATAATGTCGACGTAATTTTGCCTGGCTGAAATATAACTCTTGATTCTAATATACAATAATTAATCGAATTTTCAAATAAAAGTAATGCTCACTTATACTAAACATTCCTCCAATTTTTTATGTTATCTTGTTTATAAAAATTATTTATGTCATTGCACTATATTTGTATTCGTTTGCAGCCTAATTATTGAGCCATATTATTTCCAGTTGCCAGTGCTTATAAATACAAATCTTAGTGCGAGTCTTCTAGTAGGAATAAATGGAAACTGTCTTTTAATTCCTGTCTTCTAATTCTATCTATACTTTTTCGACGAATTTGGTAGATTCTTTGTAATTAACTGCAGACGACCCCTGCAGATCAGAAAAATCCTTCGCACTGTTATTTGGGAGTCTGCCTATAATTGACATTGTTGGGTCATGATAGAATAGACCCCTTTCTGCAGACGTGAAAATTGAATCAAAGTTATGATTATCAGATTAAATAGGTATATTTGTCAATAATCTTTGGCTGGTGCCCTGTATAACGCAAAGTGCTTATACTCGTTCCGTGTAAAAGGTATTATCACTCATGTCACCAGACAGCTCACTTGTACGGGAATATCAGTGCGTATCAGGCACAATAATTATAACACTTTCGTGTTGTGTCAGCTGCAGTTCGCTCATGCTATATCTTGCTATGTTGTTCTGTTAGAGAATGTTCATGAGAACCACCACTGTTTTATTAGTAGTCTGCCCTTTAAAACTAATTAACTGCAGTGTATACTTGGGATTCGTTATGTTTAATAAGGTAATAAGTAGTTTATACTACTGCAAGTATATAGGTGTTAATTATACGCCACTGACCCTATCTACTCTATATATAACACGATTGGGCGACATCTGTCCGACAGCGACATCTGTCCGAAAGCTGAATTAGGGATTTCGGACAGATGTCGCTGTCGGACAGGAGTCGTTTTTGGCGACATCTGTTTTCGGATCATATTGTAATTTCGGTTTGTAATTTCGGTTCACATTTGTATTTCACAAGCTCACGGGTAATCTCGTGACGTTCTAGAGCTGATGTGATCCCTTAAGATCTGATCAATCGATACGTGATTGACTAGTTGAGAACAGGATCGTGCTAACCGTACCCTAACAAGCTGTCGATCACATCACAGGACATGAGTACATATAGGACAGCAGTATGGAGATCACTTATCGCAATCCACAATGGCAACCAATCTTCAGTTTATCCCTGGACGCAAACAAGGCTCAGAGAACCCTGTCCTAAATGGCTTCAGATACGTCTTCGACAAGCGAAGAGACGACACCTCCTACCGGAAATGTTCGGATTTCCGAAAGGGTTGCAGAGCCCGCATCCGTACCGTGGACAGACAACTGATCACTCCTACTCCTGACCACACTCAGAGAAGCAGAAAAGCAGCTAACAGACACCCTTCTAACCCGAGAGATCTGGAACCGCTCTCCATTCCTGCAAACTACATCCTCTCTACCGACAACGAACCAATGATGCTCTGGGACTCTGGATGGGACGAACAGACTCGTCGATCTTTCCTTTGGGGGACTCCTAAGAACGCAGATCATATGGTGGACGCGGAGCATTGGGTAGTCGACGGTACCTTCAAATCCGCCCCTAATCTCTTCCATCAGCTCTTCACCGTCCCTCGAATCTGGAGACACCTGAAGCCCCTCCTTCCTATAGACATGGCTCCCCACATGTGGAATCAACACGAAGCTGCACAGATGAGGATTCCTCGCTCATCCAACATCGCAGAAGGTTGGCATCACGGATTCCATTCAATGCTGTCCTGTTCGAAGCCCACAATTTGGAAGTTCCTTGATTGCCTTAAAGCAGAACAAGCCCTTACAGACGTGAAGAAAACCAAAAGAGACGGGCGGGAACTACCTGAGCCACGTGCACCCAAATTGTAGATGATTACGACAACTACAGCAACCCTATGGATTTCCTTAAAGCTATCGGAAATTTGACTATGCTCTAGATTTGATTATGTGATATTGTATTATATTGAATTAATTTATAACATTTAAATAACATTGAAACTATTGTCCAATTTATCGACATCAAATGAAAATAAACTGTGGTAGTAAACTATGGCTCAGATCATGTCTATAATCGGAAATGTGTCGTATTGAAATCAGGTCACAATTTCGGACAGATGTCGTTTTTTTCTGGTACCCTGATTCGGACAGATGTCGCTGTCGGACAGATGTCGCTGTCGGACAGCAGTCGTGTTACCATATAACACCAGTGATCACCATAATTAAACTATTTTATGTAAACATGAAATATCATAATCGAACTATAATATGTATAATATTTCAATACATGAATATTTTCGTTCAATGTGGACAAGGATTTGGCGGCAGGCTATGACCCAGACATTTGATACTGCATTGCAGCTTGTTGTTGTCGTTGTTTGCCAGTATACTGTATCTAATTATTTTGTACGGGCATGACTGTGCCGAACTACTTAATTTAGAGCTATACGTTTACATTGTGTATAGTGTCTAGTGTATTGTAAACATAGTACCATACTATACTGTATAACTGCTTACTTCGGAGCTTTAATCTTCACTTCCTATAAATAGGTATATTAATATTATAAATTATTATGTAAGACACTAGTGTAACCCTGCCTAAATATATATTATATTTACATAGTTTATGTGTAATGACTAATGTGCTAACACTTATACATTATCCCCCTCCAGGATATTATATTCGCATAGATTCATTCACCTACACTGTACAGGGTGTTTCATGAATAATGTCCTGATTTTAAAAACAATAAAAACGTGTAGAGCTTACTCACTTGTTCTAGGAACTCAAATTTTTAAATGTAACACAATTATATAATTTGCAAACTTCAACATTATTCGTCCACACATTCTTGTGGGTCTTGTCTAATTCTCTCCTATACCTACTCCAAGTTGCAAATATGCAAATATATATGCTCGATCAATAGTTTCAATAATTAGGGTCCGTCGTTTCTCTAGGCAAGTTGGTCGTTTAGCTCCGGACAGTCTATGCACGGTCCCTGCACGGTCCATGCAACAACAAAAGAACACTCCATGCACGGTCCCTGCACAATGAACACTTGAAGTTGATGCACGGTCCCTACACGGTCAGTCCCTGCACACTCCCTGCACGGTCTATGCACACTCCCTGCACGGTCTATGCACACTCCCTGCACGGTCTATGCACACTCCCTGCACGGTCCCTGCACAGTAACATTTAACATTTCTATTTTTTCTGGTAATTACTTAATTAGTTCTTCTGGGACATTCATCTTGTGGCCTCCTCCTCTTGTGCCTCCCTCTCGTATATACATCACGTTTAGTACTATTCATCATGTGGCACTTGGCAGTGTTGCAGCTGATTTTTTCCAAAACGGTGGCGGCACGAAGTCATGTGATTTGAAGATGAATATCGTTTTATTTGCTATTGAAAGTGGGAAGTGGGGGTCTAGTCGATACATTCATCAAAATAATCATATCGTGATTCTAATGAACAGAGTTCCATATTTTATTTAAAACCTCATTGATATTCTTTGCTAAAAAATGTTTCCTTGTGTTTAAGAACTCTACCAATAGGATGAGGGGGGCGAGATCACACTTCCTGCTGCTCTTCCTCAAGAACCTCAAACTCCTTGTTAGGGCTCCCGTGACTCTAGTCTGTGAGATCTTCATCCCTATTATTATCGTCATCATGTTTTACGGTTAGTTAGACAATTATAATGATAAATTGTTAAATAGTATCACTTTTAATATACGATTTAGGTTTTAGTTCTAAACAAATTATTTATTCTGTCGAGCAAATGATGTTTCCAGTTAAAGTGAACCACGAATATAAAAAGCTTTATGCGTATAAATTATAGCCATACAAATTTCATAAACATTGCAAATGTATTATATTCGCGAATGGTTCATATTTTCATTGTGACGAAAACCGATTTTAAATAACCCTCACTCAGGTATCTCAACATCCTTCCCAACATTGAACCATTGCTTTTCCACATATTCCCCCAAAAGTAACGACCTTCGGATCCCTCCTTACCTAGATGTCATGATAGCCATCGCTCCGTCCACCCAGCGAGTCAGGGATATCATAGACGCTGTTATGAAGTAAGTCAGTTCAGATGCTAAAAGACCTTTTAGATTAGTATTTGTTTTGTATTTTTTTACGATCTGTATTCAATTCTTGTTTTAAATCTATAATTCGCCTTGTCCAAGGCGAATGATGATTTGACCATGTTTATTGTTTAGTCCAGTTAACGATAATTAATGCAATTAACCACAGTATCATTTTCTTGGTTGATACTTGATAAGGGTGGTGCAGCTGTTATTAGTTCAGTTTTGACTTTGGTTCACCACTCACCAGGGTCAGGCATCAAATTTATCCCAAACGTCATTCACAACTACTAGACCTAACTTTCTATGTTATCGTTACAAGAACGTTTTCAGACAGGATCAAATATAAATGTCCAATCATTTGGGCAGATAGAATTATATATTTTTGAGTTGCTGAATGAAAAATTGGGTTAACCATAGGGCAGTAATATCTTCGTATCCCCATGAAAATGTTACAGTAATCAGTTTTGGAAATCGCAATTGGGGTCAGCTCCCACTCGTTAATGAACATATCGTAATTGAAGAGTGCACTATAATACTAGATATAACTTTACTTTCTCTGTTGCCGTTACGACACAGTTTTTCAGACAGGATCAAGTGGATATCCAACCATTAGTACTGGACTTTTTAGAGAGCGAAGAGAGAGTGAACACAATACTTAAAACTAGCCCCAGCACTTATATTGGAGCAGTTATTTTTGATGATTTCCACATCGGGGACGACCATTTGCCAGATAATATCAGCTATACTATCAGATACCCTATAAAGACTTCCATGTGAGTATGGTTTTGATTCAGCATCAGAATCTTCCAGAGTCCAGACACACTATTTATTCACAACAGTCGGTGGCATCTTTCACTTTCAAATCTAACATATTATTCATTGCTACGAATTGAATCGATACAACTGATAAATGATTATAAGTACCATTCATTCATACATGCACACTCTGCATGTATGACTGAATGGTACTTATATTCATTTATCAGTTGTATCGATTCAATTGCAGAGGCGATAATGATTGGAATGGTAAAAGTCCGGGACCCAATGGGTGGGCATGCGATGCGGGGGTGGGGTTCTGCCTTACTCACAAGGTTCCTAGACCGAGGACTCATTTACAGAAATGGTAATTCAGATATTGTTTATCTCCAGGGTGGTTTATGGTTGGGTTATACCGACCCAGCTTTCTTATAGTCCAGCTCACAGAATTATCTAAACCCTCTGTGACATGTACTAAAACATTTAATGGTGGAATACCACAGCTCCTCAGTTCAGAGAGTTCCGTTGTAACCTGATCATGAACCACCCTGATACTTTTAGTTACAACTTTATATATTAAATGTAACTAATTTAGAGGTAAGCTAGACTGGGTTGGCAAGAGTCCAGGACCCGATGACTGGGAATGTGCGACTGGAGATGTAGGTCTTTGTGTGGGCAAGAAAGTTCCGACTGAGAGAAAGTTCTTGAAGGAATGGTAAGATCAAGTGAAATGGGAGATTTAGCATGTAGGACGTAGGTGCTCTAACCTACTTACTTGTACTTTATCACGGGCTCTGTGATCTGTCTATCAAGATGTATCTTGTTTAACGTGTGCTGATTGTGAAGGACCTTGGTCACCAATTAGAGAGTTCGGAAGAATCATTTGAATACTTCGAGACATGGTTGTTTCTAATACAGTATTATTAGTACAACATGGCTAGTTAAACTTGTAAGCTGTACTCGTGCATGGAATGTAAAATAGAGATTTGGAGGGTAAATTAATTTTAACACGTTCCAGTACTCTAGGGATACTTTTCCGACAGTAGATTAGCATCGAATTGATGTAACAAATAAACGAATGTTGCAAAATCATTCAAATTTCATCCGGAATCTTTTTTGCTGACCAGGGTGCGAGTAACTTTGCATGCATGGTACTGGGCGTTTTAAATGCTAAAACTGTTAAAACCGTTACTTCTCGGAGTGTGATCTTATGATTGAGTTCAAATGTCAAGTCCCCTAGCCTATAGCTTTAGAATTGCACCTTAATTATTTACAGGCTGAGCCATAAGTCAGTGTGCAAACGTTTGACATTATTGCTCAGTCTCTTATGTATCTTACTCTTTAAGCTGTTGCTGATTACAATTATTATAACAGTAAACAGTCTTAATGAAAAATATAACATTTATAATGCTTATTCTGCACTTGTATGCTGATTCTGTTTATAATACCTACCAAAAGGATTACAAATGCTATGATCGCATTTGTAGTCATGGTTAAAGGATGATGCTATAACTTTTACTCTTTTAGTTTTAAAAACGACTGATTAAGGGGGCCAGGGGGGTCTTCATCAAAATTCTCTCAAAATTGACTTTATAATTGTTTCTGGTAGAAGGGAGTGATATCTACCAGCTGCTTTTGGTCCCATGAAAAAATATTGTTCCTAGCCGAAATTATCGCCGGTCTAAGGTCAGCGCTTATGTGTAATTGTATTGCGCGAGCGATTTTCAATCGAAAATTCTGAAAATCGAGTCTAAAAATCTATCTTCTCCTACATTTTTTGAGCAATCACCCTAAAACTTTCAGGATATGTTCTAGGGACTATTTAAAAGAGATCGTTCAAGCCAAAATTTTGAGATGGGCCTTTAAAAATTTTGTATTTAATTTTTAAAATCTTGGACCTCGTTTTTTTACGATTTTTTCAGGTAACATTCCTTATATATTATTAAACATGATAATAATTCCTTATTAGGCAGTTTCAATTACAACAAGCAATTGACAGAGCCATTATACACTTAAAAACTAACACCCCACTCTCTGATATAACTGGTAAGTTATCTTTATTTAAGGTTACCAATCAATACTTAAGTTGAACATAAAATTCTTGAATCCATCAGTACGTGTTTACTGTTTAAACATTATTTTGAAAGCTACAAAAGATTTCAAAATGTACAATTGATCAAGAATCTTGATCAATTGTAGATTTGAGAATCAAGAATCCAAGATGTAAAGATTTAAACAATTTTAGAGGTTAAAGCGAGGCAGCTGCCTTTTCCTCAGTGGATAGAAAACTGGTTCCTTGTTGGGTTATCAGAAGGTCTTCCTATCATGATAATAATAGGTATGTAATAGTAGGTATGTAATAGTAGGTATGTAATAGTAGTATCCCACCAACATGAGTACCGAATGATTTGCCAAATTAGATACAGTGTATTATTTTATGGATCACATGACGATATAACGTACGTGTCGAGATACGGTGTATGTCGAGATACAGTTTGATCCCTTTTCACGGGGAAAATATAGGTAAATATCTCAGGCTTCTTCTGGAATGTGTTCATCACAACCAAAGATATCGCCAAAGATAGGGACACTGGAGTACGTGAGATATTCAAGTCAATAGGTCAGTAATTTGAATATTCAGCTGTTATTTATGGGATTGATTGATTCAATTTTATTAATTCAAGAAACCAAATAATTTAAATTTATAAAACCTTCAACGGGTAGGCATACAAGAATAAGCCTGGGTTTAAAAATTGTTTTCAATATATTGACTGTAAGTAAAAATAAAGAATAAAAGCGCGAATAGAATAAATTTGTTGAATGAATCAAAAACTTGTAAATTGTAATTTTTAGCAAAGTTTGTATTAAAATTCAGGAGTGAGTAACTCGAGTATCTTGGGATCCTGGCATTGTTTGAGGCTTCTTGTTGCTGTAACAGTTGTAACTGTGGTCACCTTCTTTTTGTGGGCCTTACAGATTACCAGGTATTTATAGTGTCATTGTAATATTAATTCGCTTAAGTTGTAAAATAATAAAACTTGCATTTTTATTTGAATAAGGAAGCATTTAAAGCAATAATACAAATTTCCCCCATCAATATTTATTGACGGTTCATATCGATATAGAAAAACGTTACCTAACTTAACTTATACTTAACTTATATAAATGACGCTTACACACTTTTAACTATTTTGATTAATTTAATCAATGGTTTTCAGATTTTCCAACATGTTTTTAGTGTGGATCATAATGGTTCTCTTTGCTGTGTCCACGGTAAACATGTGCTTTTTAATGGGTAAGCTTTCGCTAAATTAGTCTATTAGCTTAAGTAATTAATTCATGTTCGGAATTTATTTAGATCATGGTTATAATGATATCGTTCATTTTTATTTTGGGGTTCAGATACAAATGTCATAGCATTTAATAAGTTTCATTTGATCACATTTTCAAGAAAACTTCTGATTATTTTCTGAATAGATTTAGATACCAGATGATTCAGGTACGTTTATAAGCTCCTCAACTCTGGGTATGTTCACTATCCTGATCAGTTACCTCGTTTCCTTCACTCCCTTCCTTGTCCTGGCGCAGTAAGTGGAAAGTTCTCCCTAAAGTTCTCCTTAAATTTCTCCCTTAAGTTCTTAAAGTTCTCCTTAAAGTTCTCCTTAAAGTTCTCTTTAAAGTTCTCCTTAAAGTTCTCCTCACAATGCTGCTTGTAATACCTAGGAGAACAATTAGTTTCTTTTCCTGATATAACATTTTAAATTGTCTTTTCAAATATTTCCGAAATATAAACTACGATTCCTCAGCAATCGAAAATCCTACAACTATCACCGCATAAACCATCAAAAATGTAACATCTTAAATCTACAACTCCCTCAGAAACACTGACCAGCACTCAGACACCACCAAATACTTCTGCGCTCTCCTCTCCCCCGCTGCAGTGTGCCTAGCCCTGGCTAACGTGGGCACCTGGGAGGCTGAGGGTATTGGTCTCACCTGGGACACCCTCAATCAGTGCACTGGACCCAGTGATTTTACAGCTCTTACTGCAATCATGATGATGGTGGTTGACAGTGTTATATATGGTGTTTTCTTTGTTTATTTGGATGAGATATTCCCGGGAAAGCACGGGATTGGACTACATTGGACTTATATATTTGAAAAGAAGTATTGGACATCACGTCTGCCTAATGATGGAAAGGTAAAAGAGGATGATGAGAGAGGGGTAGAGTTAGAAGGGGTTGAGAAACACTACTTCTCCAGAGGAAGAATAACAAGGGCAGTCAACGGTATCAGTACTAAATTCAGAGAAAACGAGATATCGACCCTTCTAGGGTATAACGGGTCAGGGAAGACCACGACTCTAAAAATGCTAGCTGCCATGCACAGCCCTACTAGTGGCAAAATAACAATCAACGGCCTTGATCTCTCAAACAACGCCTCAACCATAAGGAAAACCCTGGGTTACTGTCCTCAACATAACATTTTGATAGAGGATCTCTCAGTTATCGAACACCTCCAGCTCTTCACCAGTCTGAAGGTAGTGGGGTTGCTTTTAGGATATTACATAAATTTATATTATGATAGTCACATATTCAACAATATCAATAAATATCATGATTGATCGTAAACATAAAATTAATCTACATGTAGATGAATCAAAAATCTATATTATGCAATATTATATTAATCAGGGTCTCCACGGTAAACACAGAGACGTAGAGATAGAGATGTCAATAAAGAAGTTGAGGTTTGAGGAGCACCGTGATGATAAAGTGCAGCATCTTAGCGGGGGTATGAAAAGGAAGCTGAGTTTGGGTTTAGCGTTGTGTGGTCACCCTAACGTGGTTATCCTTGGTGAGTTTGCCAAGCTGTACTGTTCTTGTTTAAAGATCTTCACATAATTAATTACATCTGCTTTATGATAAAAAATGATACTTTATATATGTTCTTGATTGAATTTTAGTTAGCACATTTTGAGAAATAGTTGTTTAGTGTTTTAACGCCTTGTTTTCAGATGAACCCACGTGTGGAATGGACACTGACGCGCGTAGAGTTACTTGGGAACTACTCCTAAATCATCGTCAGGTTATTTAAAATTAAACTTATGGAAGCAATCAAATTTGAGGTGCAATCGTTCAAATCCAATTCTTTAATTAAGTCTAGCTATACATTTAGTCTAGCTATAAAACCTGTGTACGGTCCAATTTCTCTGTTGGCTGGAAACAGTTCATTCCAGATGCAGTTCAAATTAATAGTTTCGTCTTGAATACTCCTTTTTAATACCATTTGAAATTACTGATAACCAAGAATTCAACTTGTCAGGGAAGGACAATCATAGTCAGTACCCACGACATGGAAGAAGCAGACCTACTCAGTGACCGGTGTTTCGTCCTCTCAGAAGGTCGCATCATCTCCAGCGGCTCCTCTACCAATATCAAGTCCCTAAACGGGGTGGGGTATCAACTCAGCGTGTCCGTTATCTCACATGATAAACAGTTACTTCCGGTCCTACAACAATTTGCACCTGATGCCAGGTTGATAAGGAAAAGTTATAAGGAACAGGTCTTCGCTATATCAGATGCAGATAAAGTTAGTTTGATTAAACTGTTGAAACATTTAGAGGTGGAGGGTGGTAATCTTGGGATCACTGGGTATGGTTTACTGCAGAGTGATCTAGAGGAAGCCCTTGCTAATGTTATTAAAACTCAGACCCGTGAGCCTGATAGGGCTCTGGAGGGGGAACGTAAAATGGGGTGTTTTACCAGGTTGACGTATTGGATGTTTGGTGTGGATGATGATGTTGAAACTTTCACTACGTTGAACAATAAACAATCAGTTTCTTACGCTGATCAGAATCAGTATGCAGCTGTACCGTTGGAAGACGAAAGGAATTCTCCAGAGAAATACTCGGGATTTATGTTAAGTATCGCCAGACTCGTTACTCTTATTAAGAAGAGAATCTTAGACGACAGAAGAAACAAATTAGGGATCGTTATGAAATTAGTCATACCCTTTTTGTTGATATTATTCGGGATAACATTCTTGAAGATAAATCAGAAGGCAGAACAATTTAAGTACACTCTCGATATCGATGGATTAGCAAAGCAACCCGATTATTTGTTAACAGTTGATCTGGCTCAGACGGGTATATTCAGATCAGATAATAAGCTCCTTTCAGAGGTTCAGAACTTTATATTGGTTGATTGGACTAAAGAAATCAAAGAGAGTATAAGCAAGGATTATAAGAATATAGATTGTTGTTCTTACAGCTTTCTTCAGCTTCAAGACACTTGTGCCAATCTTCAGTACAACTCATCAGTATGGCAGAACTGTATGAGTAATCCCTCGTTTGGGTACAGTAGTTGTTTTGATGCTTGCTTCCAGAGAGACGTGTTGATGGATTATCAAGGTTGCTCTGCGGGTCAGAGACCCGGGGAGAACTCTCAGACTCAGATTGACTATTTTCAGAATAAATTCTTAAACCGGTAAATAGTAAAATAGTAAAGTAATACTAGTAATAGTAGTATATAACCAATTAGTCAAGTAGTAAACCTATTCCGTTTAATTCTGATATTTCGATCTCATCAATCTTCTAATACGAGGATCTACATTTTGGGATAAACTATGGAGACATAAACTTGATCAACCTGCTTTTTGTTTGAATTTGGGATCAACTTAATTGAACTATCTCCTTATTTCTCCTCCTCCTTATTTCTCCTCCTCCTTATTTCTCCTCCTCCTTATTTCTCCTCCTCCTTATTTCTCCTCCTCCTTATTTCTCCTGATCCTCCTAACTCTCTGTTCTGCAGGTCAGTGGACTACCTGTTCAAGAAATACCACCACCACGTGTTAACCAGCAGTGCAGAATCAGGGGAGGTAAGCTTGACTGCTTGGTTCTCCGCTATGAGGAGACATTCTATTGCACAATCTGTCAACGTTATGAACAACATGCTCGTCGGTGAGGGAAATATTTTATTTTGAATGAGACATTATACTGAATTATCGAATGTAAAATCCAGATTGGAGGGAGGATATTTGGGAGGATTCGTTATCCGATCAGCAAATGTCCGAACTTCGAAACCGAATATTTACCAATCTATTCAGTGACCATAAACAAAATAATCTAAATTCTAAGACCTCGTTTTTTGGCTCTTATCAAAAAAAGTTCCTTCAGGGTATTATTCTAATAACACAGCTGGCACAATTACCACCTCCTTCTGGCCTTACGAAACACTGGAGGACAGTTTAACACAGGTAATCTTAATATACAAACTATTACTTTTTTTGATCAGTTAACTTATTACATGCGAATAAATACATAAACATAAAATAAATAAATATAAATGTATATTTAACAGACAATACTTTTCTTATACCTCTTTTATGTTTCTCCAAGCTTCCGAATAATAAAAACAACATGTTAACCACTATTATTTGCACGGCAGGCATCAGAAGTGTCCCTTCCACTGATGATAATGGCTATGTTCACCACCTTCGCTGGCACCTTCGTCACAGCCTCAATCTCACTGTTCCTTGTTAAAGAAAGGGTAACGAAGATGAAACATCTCCAGTTGATGGCTGGGATAAGTGGTAGAATTTACTGGTAAGATAGCTAATTAACTATTGTTAATTGCAACTTTACTAATACTATCTTTTAAACAGAGGTTTTATTAAAAACAGTGAAGCTTAAATTCAAATAACCTCCAGCACGTATTCTTATAGTGACAATGACTAACTGCTGGAGGTTGTTATTTTCAACCTCTGAACCATCCACCATGTCAGGTACGCTAATCTACTGTGGGATCACTGTGTGTTCCTTACCTTCGCCATGACAACACTAGTACTACTAGCCATGTTCTCTATAGCTGAGTTCAGTGGTTGGAACGGGGTAGCGCTGTTCTTGTTGTTAGCGGTGTTCTCTTTCGCTTCTCTTCCTATCACTTATTTGCTTACCATGGTGGTGAGTCATCTCTCTCTCTTGGAATATTAGATATTATATGACAACAATAAGATATGAATATGTTACCTATCCTGTCAGATATCTGCTAACCATGGTTATGAGTCCTCTACAACAGGCTTTATTCAAGTTAATTTATTCAACAGCATACTGTTAAAATGTAAAATAAAAATCAGTCTGAACTGAGATAATTGATAATTTCAGATAGACTCGGCGGTGTTGTGTTTTGCTGTTATTTGCACAGCAGGGTTCTCATTTGGGATGTGTGGGATCATGCTCTCAGTCTACATTGAAAATGCTCACGTCCACTCTGTTTTAGCTCTTATACCTTACTCAGCACTAGGAAAAGGTAAGAGCACTGTTTTCCTTTATTACAGCGCGTGTTCCCTTTATATCTGATAAATATATCCAAATAAAATATTTGATAGAAATGTTTTAAAGCAGTAACTGTAGTAAACACCTTCAGGAATCATTGATTTGTACAAGAACCAGAACCTAAAGAGCTTCAATGATTTATGTGATTGTGCTACTGGGTTTGTCGACAGCCCCTTCAGGTTAGCTATACGTTTTCAGTATAAACAAACTGGTTCGAAGTTTCTGCACCGTTTTACTTAGATTAGAAAATTGTTGTATTTTTTATTTAGCCTCTAAATATCCTGAATTTTACAGTACAGAGCAACCAGGAGTTGGAATGCAGCTGCTGTGTCTAACTATAGAGGGGTCCATCCTGACAGTACTTTTAGTCTGCATAGAGGAACTCTCCGTATTCGTACAGGTTTAAAACACTAAGGGTAGATATTCTTGATCACACGTTCTCCTCAATAAGATTTTTTGAATTGTCAGGATTTACTTCCTCAATTTTTACCATATATTGCCATATTTTGCCATATTTTACCATATATAACCATATTTTCAACAGCTGTATTACCACCGAGAAGATGTGAGGAGTTTTGAACACGAAGATAGTGACGTTGCTAAGGAACGGAGGACTATAAGAGATCAAGCTGCTGATAGTTTCCCTGTTGTAGTGGACTCCATTTCTAAAGTTCTGTCCAATAAATTGGTAAGAATAATTTGTATTTCTTAAGTTATTATTAGAATTATAATTAGATTTACACAGCAATACAATAAGAATACAAAATAATTTAAAGAAACTTTATGAAATCATTTTGATATTGGACATGGACTAATAATATCAGTTGTGCAGTGATAAGTGGTGCAAGGTTAAATCAGTTCCCTTTAACTCTATAGTTTACATCCTAAACAACTTCCTTAAAATAATTCTGCTCAATGTGTTTTTTTTTTCAAATAAATTGATTCATGATTTTAAAATACAGTATTATTGGCACGAAGACAAATAAAATGTCATATCATAATTACATACGATAAGAAATCAAATGTTGATGCAATGGATACAAGAGGTTCTTGAGTCCGTCAATGTAATCATATCAAGAGAATTGGTCATTTAGAAAGAAAAAAGTCATAATGTAAATTTGGTGAAAATGATTCACGATTAGTGATAAAGTGGATCACCGACTGCTTATTAAGAAGCTTAGAAGAATGGGAATTCACGAAAAGGTGGTGTCGTGGATCGAATCCTTCTTAAGTGACCGCACACAGTGTGTTGTGTTGGACGGGATGTCATCACTTGCTGCAGCAATCATAAGCGGAGTGCCACAGGGTACAGTTTTGGGCCCGCTGCTTTTCATTTTGTTCATTAATGACATGAAGCTGTGCATCACAGGATGTGTCATTAGATTCTTTGCTGACGATACACGGATTTTGAGGCACATCTATACACTTGAAGATGCAAGTATACTGCAAAATGATCTCAACTCTGTCATCGACTGGGCAAGTTGCAATAACATGTCATTGCATGAGGATAAATTTGAGATACTCGTGCACAAACACTGTCCCCGAAACAGCTTGCAAGACCTCCCGTTTGCCATCCTGACGCAAACTTATCAAGTTTCGCATGGTAACATAATGTACCCTACGGATGCAGTCAAAGACCTGGGGGTTTTGATCTCGGCGGACTTGTCTTGGAGCTCCCATGTTACTATGATAGCAGATCGTGCCCGTAAAGTTGCCTCTTGGGTTCTGAGCGCTTTTAGATCGAGAAACAAGATCACTATGCTGACCCTCTACAAGTCATTAGTCAGAAGCCATCTCGAGTACTGTTGTCCCCTCTGGAATTCAACTAAGCAAGCTGATATCGCTGAGCTAGAGGGAGTACAACGTACATTTACGTCCAAAATACATGGTGTGCAACATCTGAACTATTGGCAGAGACTGAAGGCCTTAAAATTGATGTAACTTCAACGGAGGAGAGAACGTTACACTATCATTCATATGTGGAAGATCCTACACAAGAAGTGTCCTAATGATGTCAACGTTCAGTTTACAGATACACTCCGTTATGGCCAGAAAGCAGTAGTCCCTAGCTTGTCAACGTCCAGTAGCCAAAGGAATCAATCGATCTTTGACAGCTCATTTGTAGTGATGGGGCCTCGATTGTGGAACATCATTCCCGCAAACCTGCACCTTATCGAGGACCCCCTACGCTTCAAGTCATTGTTGACGGAGTTTGTTACATCTATTCCGGACGAACCTCCTGTTACTGGATATTGTTGCCAGAACGGGAATTCGTTATTGAACTGGAGCGCAGAAAAGACAGCAACTTCGCTGCACGGGTGGTCAGCCGTTTTGATGACCCGATAGAGGATCTATGAAGCAACCCCAAGTAACCCCAAGTAAGTAGTCTTTTCTAGCTCACAAATCCTGCGATTTATCAACTTCTTTATTAAAATCAAAAGTTGAAAGATAATCCAGCAGATATTTTATCATTCGCTCATTTTATAAGCCGGTCTCATTATGGGTAGAGTCTTGGAGGGTTCGCGAGACTGAGGTTCCACACTCTGGATCTGCGAGTCAGCTAATCTACTCACAGGTCCTGATTGCACAAAGTATCGCTTACAGAAACCTCTGAAACGCTTCATAGTGATGAAATACACTGCAGGGTTCACAAAAATACTAATAGTTTCCAGCTGGAAAATAATCCTGCTTGAGTAAATAGAAAATGATGTTTTCAGCATGCCATCCATCCCTGTTTGACTCTCATATATCGCAAACCAAACCACAAAGGGCAGAACATAGAGAAGGAAAAACACACAAACAAGAATAGTAACAGCAATATTCTTCTTCTTAACAGCGGAATGTGCCAAGGAAACAGCAACATAAACCAACATGCCACTCGCCACACATAGCACAATAGTTGGGAGCAGCAAGAACACCCCCACTAGCCCCAGCTCCACGTTAGAATACTTGTTATTATCACTGGTGGTAGCGTACAAATCACACAGTAACTCCGAGTAGAAGACTACAAAGTACCCCGTTATAGTGAGTATAAAGTACCAGCCCCAGTTCACTAGGAACACTAACAGTACTCCCACTGACACCAGTCTCCGGTACAGGGCTGGAACGTGAAGGGTACCTAGAGGGTTGAGACATCTTGTTATCTTGTTAACAGCTAGTAGACACACTAGCAGTAAGTTGCACTCTATGAAGGTTCCTTTAGTGGTGAACACCACCACACCCACCAACTCCCCCAGCACCCACGCGTTACCTGCAATTATTTAAAGAGTGACAACTAGTACGCATAAGGCTTTCAAGCATCGAATTGAATTTGTTTACCCTCATTTTTATTTAAATAATTCCTATGCACAATACATCAAATCATAGAAGAAATTCATTTTAATTGTAAAGAAGGTAGTTAAAAAAAGGAAGAAGTTTGAAACTTTATTTGACTGAAATTTAACTGACCTGCTAACACGGACACAAGTTTGGGGAGGCACTGGAACACACCCTGACACAAATCAACTACACACAGACACCGAACTATGTGTACTGACATCTTGTCTAGACGTACTGCGTTGTATTTGAGGGAGGAAAAGAGGACGAATGTGTTGCCGGTTAAACAGAGGATGAGGGATATTATCTTCCAGATTGAGAGGAGGATTATTTCTGGGGTGGTGATGGGAGCTGGGTGGAGGGTCTCATTCAGGAATTTTATAGAAGTCATTACGAGTCCCTAGAACACAGGAAGATAGGTTAATAAATTGGGAACACTAATAAATTGGGAACACAACATCTTGATACAGAATAATAGAATATATGGTATACAATATATCTGCTGAAATGAAAGGTGTCAAAATGAAAATTATCCTATTGTTGAGACAGACATATTGGATATCATTATCAATGAATAATATCTAAAAAATTAGTTACTAAAGCCCTTGATGGTTGGCATATGTAGCACAATAATTGTCAATAGTACTAAATCAAAAATGACAGTTCCATCCAAAACGTTCAAACGTTAATTCTGCCACTGCACTACTCTTTTGTCAAATTAAATTTAAAGCTAAAAAGCAAACATATTTGGTTAGTCAATTTTGTACGTGACATTATTAGCAGTCTTGTAACAGATATCATTGTAGAAACCTAACTACAAACTTACAAATAGGCCAGGTGGTGATCAGTTCCTTTTAATTTGGTATGTGAATAAGCCTTGAAATGGCTTCTTCGATCATTGCTGTTTAGTTTCTGAATCTTATTATCTGTTTGCATGCCACATATCAAGTTTTTGGTTAACAAAGAATTCGACCTGTATATTTTGATTTCGATTCTGGACCTATCTGGCGAGTTTGCTCCCAAAAAAAACAAAAACAAGAAAAAACTGAAATATTTGCAGTTAAATTCGTAATTATAACAGCTGCAATTAGCCGTACGAATTGTTACAACCTGCAATACAAGCCGTAATGAAGTAAAGAATTAATAAAGAGCAACAAATGATCGCTCGAAACGACGGCTGATCAATGACAATGACATAGGAGTCGTATTAAAGTGGCATAGTGTTATGATATGTTATATTATGCACATATTAAACTTTAACAGGTTATATAACAAATGAAACTCCCATGAAAATTATAGCAACTGTTTTATGATTATGGTATAATCAAGATTATAGATCATTCGATTCCTACATAAGTTCTTATCATTGTATCATATTGGTATATTGGTATCATGAAAGATCATAAAAATAAATATTAAAAAAGCATCAATAGACCAATTAAAGTAGCAAACGTAAATTGCCATGTAATCATGGAAATAACCCTTTAAAACTACAACATCAGACAGACACCGTACATAATACATATCGTACTTAAAGTGTAGACTCTCTAGACGCATTTATATTTACTCGTACTGTAAAAGTTAAAGCTTTAAATGTGGTTCTGGTGGTTCAGGTGGTGACTGACAGACACTGGACACGGTAGACGCTATCTGCATGCTTAAAAGGGTATAAGTGGTGAACAGCAGCTGTCACTAAACTTGGTGCTATAATTGCTGTTATAGTGCTAAAATTGCCCCTATTTTAGTGCTGGCCGTTACACAAGGGACGAACACTGTCCTCTCGTCTCTCGAACACATTAACTGATTTAGAAATGCACATGTTTTTAACATAGTAATTATATTGAGAGAGGCTCCTAATAGGACGTCCTCTAATTTACTAATTAAGCAATTACAGGGTGAGTTGAAAATAGTGTGTAGAAAGTAAATGGCTCTCATTTTTTTGACAAATGAAATTTCCACTTAATTTTGTATATGCAGTACATATTATTTTATTATATAAAAACTTCGTAAAAAACGCCATGTTTTACAAATTTTGTCTATCCTTCTGCTCCTATCATTGACTGTCTAGCTGACAACAAGTTCTGTCAAAATATTGTTATAATCCTAATGAAGCCCCAAGGTCCCGGAGAAAGAGTTAATCAGAGAAAAAAGAGAAAATAAAAACAGAGGACCAGTGTACACTGTACAGTCATGGCTACTAATCATGCTACTCATCAGGAATAATCCACCATGATGCATTTAGAATCTGTTCATTTAGAGTATGAATATTTCAGTAGCCTCAATGCACCTGCCTCGTATGATACAACGTGGGTGGATTCAGATATTATAAGACTGGAGTAAACTATGATAATGTAGCAGCCAGTTAAATAATCATAGTAAAATAGCAAATCTGATAAATAATGTTCCAGTGTGGTACGAACGGTGTAATAAAACAAAAAACAAAGAAAGAAAGAAACGAACGGGCCGTGAAAAGGACAATACACAATACAGCTGCAGTAGACCGATCATTAACTCATTAAGCTATTACCAGAGGGTGAGAGGTACAGTGTACACTTAATTCAATTATCAGAACGCACGCTGATGCCTGAGTAATGCTGAATACAGCAATTAGTCTGTTAATTGAAAATAAACAACAACTGAATGAAAATGAAATAATTATGCTTACAGAGCTTGTGTTTCAATGAAATTCAATAACAGATCACAACAAGATCAGACTTACAAAGGCTTGTACGAATAGAACTACGAGTCTGCCTTGTTAGTTGGAAATAATCAGCACTGTAGATCGACAACAGAGCAGCTAAACAAATTGTCAAGTAAAAACGGTAACTAATGACCGACTGCCATGTGTAATAAACGTGATAATATCACCAACCCTGACCACACTGAATCAGGACTTCTTGTTGTGGGAATTGGATAATTGAAAACAAATAGAGCTAGATCTAATTCAGACATGAATTATTGTTGGGTCTCGTTAAACGATCAAATTTCTGACGTTTTTAATCAGACTCAGACAAGAACAAATGTAACTTTAAAACGTAAACCTTGAACCTCGTGTCCCCGTGATTAGAAACAAAATATTTACTAAAATCTTCTCAACAGCTAGGATAAGTCTAAGAACAGCTAGGATAATATAAGAATCTTGTAGCCAAGATTTTGAGGTTCTTCCAGAGCTTATGTCAACCCTCGCTTAGTGTTAGTGTCAATAAACGAATCTCAGATTTACTGGATGATGGAAGTATAAACGTTCCAATGTAAAACGTCATACTCATATACCAAAATTATGAAGCTCGTGATTAGCAACAAAACAATTAGAGACTTCTAAAAATCTTAAACAAAGATTATAACTACTAAGGATTCCACCCTGGCTTCCTCAGGTCTTAAAACATTGCCATTTGCTACCCTATTATACGAATTGGTTGATTGAAAACAGTAGCAATGTTAACAGTTGTTAGGCCTCGTTGAATAATTCAGATTTCTGACATTTTCTGATCAGACTAGAGCCAGAAAATAATGAAATTGTGAAGATTATGACCAGCAAAAAACGGTTTAAACTTCAAAAGGTCTATCTCAAATATCATAACTACAAAGGATTCCTCAAAGCGGATTGTAAGCGTTTAATAAACGGTGCATTTCAAGAAAAGAGTCTTATAACCGCTCAATTATAGCGATTATAAGCGATAATCAGAAAATCCTATTTGTGGTAACTTACCTCCTCCCCTTCAGGTCCTAAATAACGTTTCATTTGGAATCCAAAGAAAGCAGTGTGTAGCCCTGTTAGGACACAACGGGGCTGGTAAAACAACCCTCTTCTCAATCCTTAGTGGGGAAGTTATTCCTACCTTTGGGAGCGTCAACTTGTTCGGTATGTTGATTGTTAAAATGTTATTATGTTGAATTTTATGTTGTTTAACTCTTGTAGCTGTCTGCCTATTCATGTGGACACGGAAAATTGTATAATGTAGATGTTTAATGTCTTGATTGGAGTCGGGAATCCTGAAATAAAGGAAGATCTCATAAAAACAACTATTTTTTAACAATAACAAAACTATTCGGTATGTAAATTGTTAAATTATATTCGGTATGTTTATTGTTAAAACTATATTGCTCTTGTTAAAATGCAGCTGTCTGCCCCTGTACCTGGTAGCGTACAGTGGACAGTGTCCAGGTACTATAACAGTACAGTGGTAGATGTTTAATAACTGTAGTCTGTAAATAAAGCTGATGTCATCAGAGCAAAACTCTTTCATAAAAGCAGGTACAGTTTGTGAACAAAATTCGAATGAGTGGCGTGGGTATCCGCGCCACTTCTGTTCTGTATAATTTTACCGCTGCTTATCAGTGAACTACTGTTGGGTAAATATAGTTGTATGCAGGGACAAGTATGATCTCTGATATCAGGGGATACAGGGAACGAGTTGGGTAAATATAGTTGTATTACAGGGACAAGTATGATCTCTGATATCAGGGGATACAGGGAACGAGTTGGGTAAATATACTAATATAGTTGTATACAGGGACAAGTATGATCTCTGATATCAGGGGATACAGGGAACGAGTTGGGTAAATATAGTTGTATTACAGGGACAAGTATGATCTCTGATATCAGGGGATACAGGGAACGAGTTGGGTAAATATACTAATATAGTTGTATACAGGGACAAGTATGATCTCTGATATCAGGGGATACAGGGAACGAGTTGGGTAAATATACTAATATAGTTGTATTACAGGGACAAGTATGATCTCTGATATCAGGGGATACAGGGAACGAGTTGGGTACTGTCCTCAAGAACCTGCCACCTTCGCTAACTTAACAGGTAAGAAAGTAAGAAAAAGGAAATACTGTTCTAATAACTTTACCCTGAAGCAAACTTTGAAAAAAGGTGGGTGTTAAACAGGATGTAAATGAATACGGGCTTCTCATTGATCGAGTAAAAAGCTAAATTGTAAGGATTCTTGAAAACAATTATCAGTCAATCAGCTAAGTTACCAAACACTTATCCAAAATATTTCCATAATACTAAACAAGACAAGAAGTCTGTGCAAACAGTTTGTTGGTAACAGTTCTACCAAAATCCAATAACATGGAATTAAGATTCATAAGGGTTGAAACCCTAAAGAAAATGAATAACCACATGAATAATGCGCCTTATTCACTTATTTTAATTGGACAATTATCAGCCTATCTGTAAAACTTCAAGCAGATATCCACAGCGAATAACAAAACAACAATGTTGATATTATCAACCCCTAATAAGATGCCATAACAACATGCCATATTAACATCCCATTTAAAATTAGACCACACCACTGCCTATATTTACAGGAAGGGAAGTGTTGACACTATTTGCTGGACTAAGAGGGCTGAAAAAGAAGAAAAGCGAAGAGATAGTTACTAGACTCTTAGGCTGGACAGGTACTGATATATACCCCTAATTCACATATATCCACATATATTCACATAATATATTCACCTCTGTACACATACCATGGGTGCTGATTAATTAAAACATTGGGAATTTACAATGTTTTAATAATAACACAGTATTAAACTACAGTGATATCGCAATACTGTTTTAATAATCACCAGCCTCTGTTGTAATACTAATAGTGTGTTGTAAGAATCAGTCAAGAAGCAGTCCCGTTTCCACATTATAATATTTTACCCATTGTCAATCAGGCCGGCACATTTTACCATCAGTGGCAACAAGAAGGTGTCTGAATGACATCGTGAGACGCTTTGTCGTTTTATCTTAAAGAGCTACCAACCATTTTAATATAATAACTTAATAAGTAATAATATAAGACCAAATGTCAGTTCAATTAAACATTTCAAAATAAAACAGCGTTGACTTTTTTAATTTTTATGACTATAGAGATGAAAAATAGCGCACAACATAATTTTATTAGATAAATAAAATTATGGACGAAATGCTCCGCGAGTGATTCAACAGTAAATTATGCGAATAATGTGGTTTATTATGCGAAGTTAAGGCTATTGTTAATACTTTAATAGTCTTTGCATAACATACTTTTCGATCACAAGTCACAAGTCTCAGCGTGGTTTTGTTTACTGATTAAAAGTGAAAAGTAATTTGATCTATAGTGTCAGGAGTCAGGCGTATATGGTATAGCTAGCGGTATTATGGAGGCGGAAGCTGCATGACAGAATCTGCAATTCAGATAATCTCGGCACACTGAGACACTAAACCAGTGTAATTTCAGGACTAACCCAATACGGAGACAGGATAACAAGAACATACTCAGGGGGTACACTCCGCAAGCTTTCCCTGGCTATATCACTGGTAAGTCACTCCGCAAGCTTTCCCTGGCTATATCACTGGTAAGTCACTCCGCAAGCTTTCCCTGGCTATATCACTGGTAAGTCACCCCGCAAGCTTTCCCTGGCTATATCACTGGTAAGTCACTCCGCAAGCTTTCCCTGGCTATATCACTGGTAAGTCACTCCGCAAGCTTTCCCTGGCTATATCACTGGTAAGTCACTCCGCAAGCTTTCCCTGGCTATATCACTGGTAAGTCACTCCGCAAGCTTTCCCTGGCTATATCACTGGTAAGTCACTCCGCAAGCTTTCCCTGGCTATATCACTGGTAAGTCACTCCACAAGCTTTCCCTGGCTATATCACTGGTAAGTCACTCCGCAAGCTTTCCCTGGCTATATCACTGGTATGTTTTGTTTTATTATCACTGGTAAGTTTTGTCCGTATACAATGTTAATCGCCCAAGACACTGGAAGATTATACCCCGTCACGGTCATATTTAGCTACAGTTGCAATATTAGATTATTAGCTATGGGTTGTAATATCTTGTTTATTAAATCCCAGATTGGAGACCCACCTGTATTACTGCTGGATGAGCCAAGTGCTAGTGTAGACCCCACTTCTCGGCGAATGCTGTGGAAACTACTTCGTCAGCTAGCTGACAGTGGCAAATCAATCCTTATCTCAACTCACATAAAGGTTCGATTGATAGTGGTTGTTAATCAATTAATGATAGTTTAATTCTTTCTTCGTAATTATTATCTACCTCTATATATAACTTTTAAAATAGCCTCTCATTTTATTTCATGATTCCGAATGAGCACCAAGTATTTATAAATGTAAGTTATAAATGATTTATTCAATTAATTTTAATTCAATGCGACATATTTAAGGGAGAGGTGGAGGCAGTTTGTGATAAAGTAGTGATACTGAACGAGGGAAATGCTGTTGCGATCGGCTCTTGTAACCAAGTCAAAGACAAATTTGGTTCCGGATTCTGTTTACAGGTAACTTTTGTTAATAAGCTGTATTTCTAACGGACATAACATGCCCCGCTTACTAGTTTAGCTCTTTCTAGTCCCCTGCTACACGGCATGTAAACAGGGATTGGCTAGTTAGAGGCGGTCCGTGTAGGCCTTACACTGTGCTTTCAGCAATACTCATAAGCGGTTGAAGACTTTTCCTCCTGAAAAGAAGTCTCCTTGTCCTGAAAAGAAGTCCTAGTCATCACCTACCTCCCGTCTCCTACTCATCGTCATTAACTCATCTCCATGGCTTTTTTACCCGGATTTAAATTATTATATTCGATTTTTTTCCCGTGAAATTGTAACGCGGTTAAATTTTAAGATTTTATTTTTATAGCATTCTCTCGATTTTTGAGTTCTGATCGTCTTTATGAATTTTTGTATTACCAAGACGAGTTCGTTAGTGTTCTCCTTGGTCATTTCATGTTTAATTCCTGTTTAATTACTTAGCGTAATATCCACATAAATAATTCCTTATCGAATTAAAAACAATTTATTTATCTTTCAGGTGTCCACACCAGATCCCACGGAAGTTGACTTAACGAAAGCAGCTATAGAACAACGTCTGAAAGATGTCACATTCGTTCACGGGGTTGGTGCTCTTTCATTGTACAGCTGATGAGATATGGTATACCCATGCGCGAATCCAGATACCAAAAAAATGCCAAAACTTTTTTCTCGTGCAAAAAATAATCTTAACTTCTCCCCCGCAGGTAGGACGACATCTCCAATACCTCGTACCCTCCAAATCCTTCTCCTACTCCGACGTGTTCATAGCAGTAGAACTAATAAAACAGCTCGTGAAACTAGACCACTACTCTGTGTGTCAGGTCTCATTTACTCAGCTGGACATAATAACTCAGACTAAGCACAAGGATAATAAATCTAATTTAGAGACGTTTGTGAGGAGGGTTCATGGATTAGTGAGAAGGAGTTTTAAGGAGGGTTTTACTTTTAAGAGGACAAATGGAAGGAATGGAAGGACACCGACTGTAGTTTATTCGAACCAATCTGCAGCTTCGGAAGATCTCGAGATTGTCGAAGTGGTAGTATAGTGATCGGGTAACATGGTAACTTAGTAACCTAATAAACTGGTGACTTAGTTACTTGGTAATCCTGGTCAATTAGAAAAGAATCTGCAGGCTCGGAAGTTATCGAGATTTATAGCGTATGCTTTTTTGTGGTAGCTTTATGTCATTGAATCAACTATATTTCTTATTATCAAGCTGATTTTATATATTTTTGATTGGATTGATAATTTGTTAATATTTTGTTATTATGCGATGATTTGATTAAGGTGTCCTAATACACCGGAACAAAGAATGGTAGAAGTTATTCGTTTCAGAACACCTTATAAATACATTAATTTAATACATGATAATGCAGTGCAATTTTAATTTGGATCATTGCAGATCTGGAATTTTTGGATGTTGCATGAATTTTATTTGTGGGCAGACATGGTTGTCAAATGTAAATATGTACTGCTTTCGATTTATCTGTTTGAATTTGTATTTAATAGGGATCGTTCACATGTTACATAATAACCTGAACCAGTCCTAGTTGGTTTAGAAATGTGCTGGTGTAATTTCAACACTATGTTTATATGTAAAATGGCTCAATTAAGCTAGGGGGTTCTAAAATTGACGAACGCGAATATACATAGTTTGCGTAATATGTGAATGAATCAATATATTTTAGACAAACTAAATATATCGTTAATATCATCTGTAGAGTGTAAATTTCATTAATTTTAATTTTAGATTCGTGGTGATTTCGTTAATCATCAAATATTTATATTCGGATGTTTGCTCTGTTTTATTTTTAATTGAATTTTTGAAATACATATTATTTTATCTTAAGCTTAGTTTGTCGACTTTACGAAGGTATATGATATTTGAAGCTATATGATTAAGCAATAATTAAGCTATATAATCAATAGCAAGAATAAAGAACTGATTATTGTAGATGATTAGTCAATCCTTTAAAAATAACTCAGCTACAAATGGATATAAGCAGTTAGTAGTGGTAAAGAATGCAGCAAGAAAGAAGTATCTCATCCGACGTTATTTGACCGGACATTTACCGGACATTGCGTGAACGGACATAATTTTTAACGTACATCAGAACTTTTCAAACTTTTTGGACATATATCGTCTTCATTCTTCGTGGGGTCTACGACTCTGCGTCTACAACCGCCGTGTCATGTCGTCGTAAATTTTGTCCCGAAATTGAAAGGACCGTGGCCTTACCTTAAAAGCATAAAAGAAAAGATAAAGGATTAGGTAATTACTGTGTACGGATCGTTCACTGACGAATTACTTTACTATAGGTCGCATAATCTACTCAGTCAATAATTTGTTCTGTATCATTTCCCATCTATAGATATAGCTACTCGTCAACACTTGGGGAAGTAACTTATTAATAGGTATGGTATTCATCCATTGTTTTTAATGCAAATGCACCATTTCTTCAAAAAATTACATTAGAAAGCACTGCACACGTCCGCGGTAAACCAATTAACACGGTATTTTACGTGTTTTACGAATTTTTATTCCATTAAGAATTTAATGAATTATACAGATATTCTTCCCAAATTTTACAACCTTTGTTTTTACTTCACTAAGAATTTTTTATGAATTCAGGATATGTATTGAAACGTAGTGATGCTAAAAATAATATTTTAGTTGATAATCAAACTGGAAATGCAAATGAATTGTTGTTCCCGACGTAGCTCCAGTCAGTCGGTCGTATTGTGGTCCTTGACAAAACTTGATAAACGCAACCATGTATTCTATTTATTAACTGCCAAAAACGGATTCTTCGTGAACCTTTTATACGTTGTATTTTCCGTTAATTCCCGGAAAATTTAGAATTAGAAAATAAGACGCGTCGTTAAAGCTTGACAATGTCGTGTTTACTGTTTTAGTTAGTTACATACGCTGTAATTACTTGAGTATTTATAATCAGGTGAAATTAATTTCCATGAAAATTCGGTCTCTCTTTCATGCTTATACAGTTAAACTTTTCATCATCAGAATTTATCTAATTAAGTTTTGTATTGTTATATTTCATGAATATTTTTGATATTCTCAGTAATGAAAACGAGTAGTCTAACTCTAATTGTTTTGGAGTAGTGAATATTTATATATGACGTAGTTGATTGTTGAACTAATTCCCTTCATTACATAGTTGGATAGTTACAAATACAATAGGATTTACCGTCCAGCTACCAGACTAATAGTAATTAAAATCGTGCACGTACTGCAATTGTAATGCTTTAAAATGAAGCATAATGGAATTTTCCCGGACATATATAGATATATGTACATTTTGTCTGTTTACCATTAAAACCGTACAGCTGTAAAACTCATTTTTGTTTTTCAAATTCAATAGCGTGTCATCAATTATTAATTTTTATTGTCATACTTGTTAATGTTTTGACATATGACTGTGATTGTTGGCTTTGATAAGTTAATACTGGAAGCTGATTTTTTAATCACTGATGCGTGTCTGAAAGGATTTCATTACCAGTTATATATTCAGATCTATTGTAACTGAATGCTTGACTGACAGTTATGTCATGTTTAGTGATTAAATTATCAATAATTATCTCTCATGGATAAATCCCTAACAATAAATTTGAATTACACATAAACGCTGAGCACGTATCTTGCTTTAACCCTGCAAGGTGGTGTTATTGAAATATTCCATTATGATTATCTGCGAGGGTTTAGTTTAACCAAAACGGCTAAGTAATTTCAATTAAGTTACTCTTCCGTGTAATATAGATCGACGAAAAATATTGCCATTGGTAATGTTCACTAATGCAGTTATTGACGGCTTGGTCAAGGAAAAAGACGTTCGTCGTTGGAAAACACATGTCATAGAAATCAATTACATGAGCAGACTTGAGATCATACTGGCTTTACATGAAGCCACTCAAAATACTGCAGCACTAAATTTATCCGCTGATTTTGTTTTCGACACAAATTTGTTTAAGGACATTATGTTTTAAACTACTAAAATTTATGGACAAGATCTCACCCGCAACCTCTGGTAAGAAAAAGAACAGATCCATCGATCAAAATCTATCATATAGTTGTTCATCAAACTGCATCGGATACTGATAGCCTATATTTGTATTATATCATTCACAAACGATACATAATTGATAATAGTGAATGCCGAATGGTGAATAAAAACACTAATTCCATCAATCATTCATTGATAAAAACCAATCAATTGAGAATTTATCTATGCTTATCAGCTATGCTTTATGCTTTATTTCTTTATTCCCATTAAGATCATGTGCCGCAATCCGGTCTTGGTTGTCATTCATACTTGGAAAATATGTAGTACATAATTGGTACGGTGTTATAGCATCACACATTTTTGCAGGTGTTAGTATCACACATTACATTGGAGGTGTTAGTATCACAGAGTATTGCTATCATAATTTTAAACTTTATAATAATCTGTTTTCGCTCTTTTGCGAGTGGGTCGATCATATGATTGATGTTTTGGGGAAAAGACGTGGGCCGAAACGTTGACAACTATTTGTTTGAAAAACTGAGTGGAGACTCTCAATTTGTCCCGAGACATCAATCATTTTAAACCTTGGCACACACTTACATAGTTTCATAGTTTGTTCATATTGTTTCCCTGATTGTAATCAATCCCCAAAGATGTTGGTTAGTTACCGGTATTATGAGAGAACTAAGGCTCCTCCTCCCGTTCTGGTTGTTATTAAACACGTTCAGGAAGGTAGTAATTAATAATTATTATAATAATTAGTAATGCTGATAAATGGAAAATAAATAATAATTATAAAAATGACTAACACATAACATAGTCCGTATTTAAGTATAACTATAGCTAATGCTATCTATAGCCTTTTTGATTTACAGGTTTCGATAGAAAATATCCGGCTAATGATTTATAAAGATACGACTACAACTATATTGTTAAGATACGACTACAACTATATTGTTAAGATACGACTACAACTATATTATTAAGATACGACTACAACTATATTGTTAAGATACGACTACAACTATATTGTTAAGATACGACTACAACTATATTGTCCGAAACACCTCATTTTCGATTCGGACTACAAGAGTCACCCAGTCGGTCCTATTACATCACACACTTGTTTATTTATTCGACTAATCGACTAAATTAAGTGACATTTTCAAAAGAACCAGGAGCGTTAAACTGTAAGCACGTTACTTGCAGGTTCTGGTGACATTAAATCAGTACAGTTTGTTACTGTTGATGGGAACAATAATCCAGAGTTACCGCCTGTCAATGCTAACGTTACTGTTAACCTTGGTGAGCAGTTTTATTCCAAATAAGGCTTACGTTCACAGATTACGTAAGCCAGACCCCCTCTGTAAGCCGCTTTAAACTACCTTACTCGGGAATATTATAGCGGGTTAATTTATGACTGGGAAAATTAATAACCGGGAAAAATATGACGGAATTTCCCAAAACCCGCCAAATTATCCCGGTCATGTATTTACCGGTGGCCGACCTTTCAAGTTTTTTTTCAGAGGTCAACAAATTTTCAACCGAAATTTCTGTTTTTGTTACTTGTTAAAGAAGTTATTTCAATTTACATTTACTGATATTACTCAGAAATAGAAAAAAAGACACGTCTAGTATTTAAAGGAAAATAAATCTATAGCAATAATAAGTCAAATCTTCATTAAAGCGTATTCTCATTCTCATTATCGCTAATGTCCCCTCCATTATCATTATTGATATCCCCCTGCTGCTGACCGTCAAATTCGAAGTTGTATTGTTGTCTTAACAAGACTTTCATTTTGTCCGCTAATGGGGCTATTGCTCTGAAGGTCAGCCGGAGCTTAATTTCCTGCCCACCGCTTGGTATTGGGGAACGTCTTGGCTTTGCATCTTCAACTGTTCCAGGAATCAATCCACCGTGGACCTGCATGAAATAGTGGCACAGTTTACTCACTTCATGGGCAAGAAAAGTGAGAATCACGGTCCACCCTGAAATCTGATTTCTAAAACCAAATTGTGATTTTTATAACGAAATTATGGTAGCAACCGCCAATAAAGTTACAGCCCTCCATCCACTGCTTCAAAAGTCTTCTCTAGCACATATGAGACTTCAGGTAAAATATGATGATCACCACCCCCTTGGAACCCCATAATCTGAGTCGGCGGGTTTTTTTATGACTGGTAAAATTTTTGACCGGGAAAAATATGGCGGAATCTTCCAAAACCCACCACTTTATCCCGGTTATAATAATCCCGAGTAAGGTAGCACTTTTTCATATCCTTTCTCTAGGCTAGCTAGATCCCTAACTTTATTTCGTAGAATTGTTTTTTTGTCTTCATTGTTGTTGTTGTTCTTGATTGATCAATTTCACTGAAAAATGTTTCAAATTCTGACAGAATTGATTCTGTTTACAAGGAATAATAAACACTATTCAAGGGTAATTAATTTACTATATTACGAGTAATATCTGATTCCTTATTTTCAGACTTCAGGACAGAACTGAATAGAATAAGCAAAGAAGAACTCCAACAGCGACTAAAAGAGCTGGAACGAGCTAACTCAAGAGAAGATTCAGATGATGAAAAAGTTACTAAGATCAGGTAAAAATAGAATATTATTAAATACTTTTCTTGTTTCCATTCTATCTTTCTATAGTAGTGATTGTATGAAAGTGCACTTTTGCATTTATACTAATTATTACTAGTATGAAGGAATAAGAAATTGGCCAAGGAATAGGAACTTTAAGTCCCGAAATTTGGAC